CGGGAGTTGGGCATCAGTAAAAGTGCCCACCCTGTCACTGGCGGAAGAAGATAAAGATAAAAAACCCACAGCGACGCGGCTCAGAAAGGCTCTTACTTGGTACCGTGTTCACCTACGTGTTCTGCCGTAGACTGAGGTCAGCAAACTCGTTCGTTGAAGAGGGCAAGACGGATAAGGGCGCTCAGTTCAGTGGTCAAGAGCGAAAAATCAAGGACACTATCAGTTACCCGGGAACTATTGTTCTGTAATTGACAACCACTCGTCCGCGCCTGACGTGCCTGAACGAAACAGGCGGCTGGGCGCGGACGCGGCCCGTCGTGTGTGGCTTGCAAAAGCCCTTGGCTCTAGACGATAACCTCTGAGGAGCAGAAGGACACATCTGCGAAGAAGTCAAGTCAGAAGAACTGAGCGTAAACCAGCTTGCGACAGTCACCCAAAACAGAGAAATAATATTAAAAAAAAAATAAATAGAAAGAAGAGTAATTGGCACTAAGAACTATACAGAAAAAAGTATCATGCATGCGTGATGCATGCCTGTGGTCCCAGCGACTAGAGGCTGAGGGCAGGAGGATCTCTTGAGGCCGCGAGGGCGATCGAGGTTGCTCGTGAGCGAGGCTGACGCCACGCGCTACACGCGTACTCGTCATGACATGAGGAGGATGCATGTCGCCAGTTACTGGGCAAGAGCTCAGTCCTCGTCATTAGACGCAGCGCGACGGGGGGAACGCCCTCTGGATTGTTTCAGGATTATCGAGCGACTTAACGGAGGGGCCGGCTCCGTTCCTCAGCGGTTGGATGGAGAGCGGCCAGCATTCTAACATGGCCGTCTCCGGCCGGCCGTGCGCTGAGCGAGGACAGGGCAGGGGCGAATGACACCCGACGGCGGTGATAAGTCCCTGCGGGCGGGCCGCATGGTGGCCCGATGGCCGATAAAGTCCCGGACGCCTCCTCGTGCTCCGATGTAAACCGGGAGCTTGGGACCAACAGCCCCTCGCGGCTAGCAGACTGGACACGAGCAGCCCTGCGACAGGCCTGCATGCCTTCTGGCTGAGAAGCGTCAGCGCCAGCAGACAGGGACTGGTGCCCGACGCAACTCAAGAGCCTCTGACGGTGTGGGAAGTGTTACAAGCGCGAGGATCCAAGCGCACTATGCACACATGGTCTTAGTCATCGTTTATTTCTATTATTTTTTTTTTGCTGTATTTCTTTCTTGTCTGTGGTTGTTCTCCGGCATCTTTTTTTTGTCCCGCCCACTGTTTGTATTTGTTTCTTTTTTTTTTTTGTTAGTCTTTCTTCGTTTCCCAAAGCTAAACGCGTAGAGATATTTTTTTTTATGGTTCTGTGTTTTGTTATTCTCTTGTTTTTGTTTTGTTTTTTTGTTTTTTGCTATCACTTCTATTCACATCTATTCTATATCCTATGCTATTCACAACTACACACACCACCCACACAACGAACTCACGCATTCTTTTCTTTATCTACACTCATTTCACTTATCTCTATTCTTTTCTTTATCTACTATCTTTATCTATTCACTGCACATGCCAACACTGTTCTTCTCTTTTTTCATCTATCTATCTATTCTATGTCTAGACTATTCTATCTTTTATTCGTTATCTAGTCACTACACTATTGTCAGCACATATCACAACACACACCACACACTCACACATTTCTTATCTTCTTTTACACTTTTTTCATTCTATCTTATTCTTATTTTTCTTTGTTCTTTTCTCTTATCTATTCTTATTTACTATCTTCGACTTCTTACAGTGCTATCTATTTTCTTCATTCTTTTATCTTATTTCTTTTTTATCTGCACACACAGCGCACCACTCACAACACGACAGCACACTCACACACTCACTTCACACACACACCGTCGACACACACATCATCACACACCACACAACTCACAACTTCACGCACACCATCACACACTCACGACACTCTCTCTCACAGCACACACGTTCAAACACACACACAGCACTCACACACTTCCACCACACACTCACACACTACACACACACAACACTTCACACTCTCAACACACACACTGCACCACACACCCACCACACTATCTCACAGCACATCACACTCACACAGCACACTCCAACGACACACACACCACACACACTCACACTCTCTCACACACACACTCACACACACACACACTCACACACACACACACACACACACACACACACGATGTTTTGCCTTTGAGCCACCAATTCCAACCAAACCTGGTCACCTGTAACATGAACGCAGGCCTCTCAGAAATCAGATGCTATTTTACGACAACGCTGTGGTCAGCGAAACATCCCCTCGTGTTCTTTACACAAAGGGGGGACAGACCAGCTAGCTGGTTCTGGTCGGAATGCAAGACACAGTCTGGACGCCATGCACACCTGCGCTACTGGCAAGTCAGCCAAGGACCTGAGCTGTCCAAGAGTAACGAAGCCTGCGCTTCATTTGTGGCTGCTGAAAGGCCTGACCAGCCCGAATGACGTGGTCCTGTGACGGAGGAAGAGGCTCCTTTGCAGGGAACCTTCTGGAATGTCCCAGAAGGTTCCTTGCAAAGGAGCAGAGCCGGAGCCACCACACGGAGCTGTGTCCTCCAGGCAAGTCACCGAGCCCCTGCAGCTGCAGCCTCCTCATCCACAGTGGGGGGGCGGGGTACAGCACCACCCATCTTGCCCCCGAGTCTCCAGGACGACATGCCTAACAAGCACAGAGGCCTGGGCACAGCGCGCGGCACCCTGCGAGCACTGGGCAGGAGCCTCCGTCAGCAAGTCAGTCTCTCTGGCAGCCGCTGGTCAACTCCAGAAACCCGAGTGTAAGCCCTGGGCTCTCGGCCACCCCAAGCCTCGGCGTCCTCAACCGCCAAGAGGACAAACTCGAAGCCCCCCGGCGTCCGCGGGCTGAGGGAACGACTTCGCAAGCGGCTCGACAGCCTGCAAGATGGGCAGCACCTCCCCGGCCTGCCCTCCAAATCCAGCCTCCTCCAGCGGCAGATGCTAGCGCAGCGGCTCCTGGCGACAGGCAGGGTGACCCAGACCAAGGCGTCGCGGGGTCGATGCGAACACTGAGCACACGGCCGCATGCCAGCGCGGGCCTCAGAAGCGGCAAGCTCCGTCCCTGCACCCGCGCTGAGGGGGGGGCCGCTCTGCTCGACAGAGACCACGGGAGAAACCAGCGCACCAGCCCACGTGCAGCTGTGCGGTGACTGTCCGGGAGAGGGCCACGCTGTCTCCACCCCACCTGGCTGGGAGCAAAGGAGGGCGTCATCCCGGCACTCTGGGAGGCCAGGGCGGGGGAGTCGCTCGAAGGTCAGAGTTCGAGGCGACCAGGCCTGGAAGCAGAACGATGAGGACCCCATACCTCTAATAAAGAAAATAGAAAGATATGACCAACTAAAACACTGAAAAAAATTGAGGGACGGCGTGGCGGGTGGCGCACGCTGAGTCCCAGACTGGATGTGAGGAGAGGAGAGTCGCTTGAGCCAGGAAGTGCGGAGGTTGCTGTGAGCGAGGCTGACGCCACGCCACTCTAGCCTGGCAACAAAGTGAGACTCGTTTCTGGACCCTCTTTCTGTGATGCGATCATGAAGAAGCTGGGGACCGAGCTGGCTCACGGGGGTTGAGGCTGCGCGCTTTTGCATGGTCAGCACTAGCTGGCTCTGCCGCCAGCAGCGGCGTGTCCTGCCAAGCGCGCGGCTGGAAGCGGGGGAGCCGGGGAGCCAAGGCGCCTGTCCCCAGCACTCTCGTGAGGGATCTGCGGAGGCTCGAGCAGCCACGGCGGTGGCGCGGCCATGTTGGCGGAACAGCCGCTGCTGCTGCTTGCCGGCTGCTTGCGCACCGTCCGCGCCTCCTGACGCACAGCTTGCCAGCCGATTCAGAATCTGGCGGGAGAAAAAAGACCAGCTCGCAACCCGGACTCGAGCTCCGAAAGAGGCGCGGAGGGCAGGGAGACGAAAAGGATCCTGGTTGTGTTAAAAACGCCCAACGAGGGCCGGGCGCGGGTGGCCACGGCTGTCATCCGCCGCAACTCTGGGAGGCGAGGCGGGAGGATCGCTCGAGCGTCAAGAGTTCGAGGACCAGCCTGAGCAGAAGAGCGAAGACCCCCGCTCCAAGTAAAAATAAGAAATTTAATGCAAGCTGATATATATAGAAGAAGAAAATAGCTGGCATATTCGGGCGCAGGGCCTGCAGTCCGCTTTACGTCAGGGAGCTTGGAGGCAGGAGGGATCGCTTGAGCCAGAGTAGTGTGCGGACCGAGGGCTGGACGCACGCACTCACTCCAGCTGGGGGCAAGGCCAGAAGCGAGACTCATGTCCAAAAACAAAATAAAACAAAAGCCTTAAAATGGAGACTCCTGCAAATACGTAGGCTTCTCTGTGCGACTGCAACAAAGACCAGATCTAGCACGCTGAGAGCCACGCCGGGGACCACACCGGTTAGGGCCTCAACGGACGCGGGCAGCTGCAGAAAGACTGCTGACACGGTGCAGCGGGCATCGTGATTCCTCTTGGGTGGGACCACAACGAGCTCCGCGGCGCCTCAGTTTAAAGCGCTCGTGCAAAGATTTCTAAACAACGACAGCTCCGGCTGGGCACACTGCGACTGAGCGCCGGGCCCTGAGATGAGTCCTGGACGGGTCTACCAACGAGTCCTCCGTCCGCTCACAAAGCTCCAGGCACACGCGGTGCGTGTAAAAGGTCATGCAAAGAGAAGGCCAGGACACGGAGGATGCACAAACAGCAAGTGGCAGAGGAGCTCTCTGGGTTTGGAGCCCGGATCTGACACCAAAAGCCCTGAGCTTATTAACCTCTGAGCTCTACTTTCTCCCTGTTAAAACTGCATGAGGGCCGGGCGCGGCGGCTCACGCCTGTCATCCCAGCACTCTGGGAGGCTGAGGTCGGCTGATTGCTCGAGGTCAGGAGTTCGAAACCAGCCTGAGCAAGAGCGAGACCCCGTCTCTACTATAAATAGAAAGAAATTCATTGGCCAACTAATACATAGATAGAAAAAATGAGCCGGGCATGGTGGCGCATGCCTGTAGTCCCAGCTACTCAGGAGACTGAGGCAGGAGGATTGCTTGAGCCCAGGAGATTGAGGTTGCTGTGAGCTAGGCTGACGCCACGGCACTCACTCTAGCCTGGGCAACAGAGTGAGACTCTGTCTCAAAAAAAAAAAAAAAAAACAAACCCACACGAAGAGAAAAGCTGGCACGTCTGCACCTCCGGCTTGACCGTGCCAGCTAGAGCGCGCAGAGTGCGCGCAGGGAGCCCGCAGGGAGCCCGCAGAGAGCGCGCAGGGAGCCCGCAGAGAGCGTGCAGGGAGCGCGCAGAGGAGGAGGAAGGGCGGTGGGGGGGACTCACCTCCTTCACCACTCTGTAATTGTAGCTGCTGGTGCTTTCGTGCTTTTGCGACTTGTTATTCCCGTCCTAGGGGCCAAAGGGAACGTAAGCGCGGTTTGCGCAGCCCCCGGCTGCTCGGGTGGGTCGGGGCAGCAACACCCTTTCGGGAAGGACGGGAGCTCCGCGCCGTCTCCCCACGGCCGTGCGGGCTTCATGCCCGAGTGACCCACGCACTCCAACGCTCCTCCCTCGGGCGAGCACAGTGGCCCAGGCCACGGCTGGAGGACAGCTCTGCTCCCACGAGGGTCCGTGAGAGACGGCTGGTGCCGCGTCACTCAGCACCAAAGTCTCTCCCACATGATTCACGACGACACAGGAGACACAGCGGGAATGTGATTCTGTCCCTTACTTCCTAGTGAAGCGGCTGTCACCCCCCTGGCCACTCAACGTAAGCAGATCTCACGGAAATAAAACACGCCCCATCGTCTGCACTCGCACCTACAAACCCAGCGCAGGACGCTACCTGCTCTGGAAGCCGCCCGTGCACGGCGGCCTCGCTCACCTCTGCCTTCTTGTGTCCGTTCTCGCCGGACGCGCCGTCCATGGTCTCGTCGGGGCCCTGCCCTTTGTACACCCACAGCTCCGACTTCTCCACGATGGACCGCAGCTGGTCCAGGTCCTGCTTGATCTGTTTGTAGTTGTCCACGTCTTGGCTGGTGACCAGCAGCTGGACCTGCGTGAGCGCGAGGCGTTAGGCGTGTGCGCCCGGCGGCTCCTCCTCGGGGGCACGCGGCACACACACGGGCGACCTGCCCGGGCTGCCTACCTGCTTGAAGGCCTGGAGCACCTCCTGCCTCTGGCTGAAGTGCCGGAAGAGGAGCTGCAGGGCCCCCGACACCAGGGGCGGGTAGTCGTGCATGGTCAGGTGGAGCAGGACGCGGAGGAAGGTCCTGCCGCCGTGATCGTCCAGGTCCAGCGGGGTGTTCTCCTCACTAAAGGGGCATGTGGGAGGGGAAAGGCCCGATGAGCCGCCGCCGCGTCGCCCGCACCTGGGACCCAGACACACCTGGACGAGTTAGATTTGTAACGCGGCAGGCTGGAGTCGTGACTTGACTTTTCTCGAGCTATGTGAACGGGACAATGTCGCCTTATCTTCCACGATATTCTGGGGGGAGGGGACCAGGAAGATGTCACAGTTGTCAAGTTTTAAGCCGAAGTCCCTCCCCTCCCACACACAGCCGTGGGATTTGCTTTTGACAGATGGAACAAATATTGTGCAAGCTGAGGCTTCATTAGCACTTGCACCCTGCCGGCTTGTCCTCTTGGGGCAGTGAGCTGCCACACTACAAAGAGGCCCAGGCTAGCCACAGGGAGGGGGGAGAGGGTGGAGCGGAAGGTCGGGGAGAGGCCTCACAGGCAGCCCTGCCAAGGTAGCAGCCCCAGTCACCACCTCACTACTGTGCATGGCAGACCCAACAGTGCCCAGCAGAAGAACCGGCCGGCTTAGCCCTAGTCAACCCATAGAGCTGAGAGAGGCAATAAAACGGTTGTCTGAATCCTTAAAGGTTTTTTTGGAGTAGACTGTTATGCAGCAATAGATAATCAAACCAAATGCGTCAATTAGGAGAACTAGGTGCATAGGGTGTATTTTATGCTGGTAGGTATATGAGTTTCATAATAGTACCTTTTTATGTCAAAATGGGGCAATATGATATTTTTATAAAAGGGCTTCATACATTAACATTTTCAACAATGAAAAAAAAGATTGTGCTTTCTTTGTTGCGTAGCCTGTAAAGATCTCAGGGATAAAATAGCCCAGCAGCAGCAAAATGACATAATCTCACTAACCTCGCTCTGTTTTGAGCCCCCTCTCTTTATGCTTTTTTTTAGCTATTATTTCTTCACCATTTTAAAATAATCTTGTAACGTACATGTTTCAGAAAACCTCCTTAAATCCTTTCTGCCCTAGGCAGGAAACACACACACACACACACACACACACACACGCATGCACACGCCAACTGAGATAACACTGACTTGTGTACTAAGAGTTCCAAAGACAGCACTAAAACAACCTTAATTCCAAAGATTAATACAGTCAAGGAAAAGCCTTTGAGAGCTATTCGAAGAGCAGTCTTCCCAACTGTAGAACCACCTACAAAAACAGTAAGTGAAAATATACTTTCCTTCCTCCAAAGATGCCTTCTGCTTGCTCTTCAATGTGTTCAAAGTCAAGAGCACCTGAAAAGTTAGAGAACACAACTTCAGACTCAGGAAGGTCTGCAAACATGCTGCTGGTGAACTTAACAAAGTTTTCCAGGGGCAAAGCCATCGGGTTAACCCCAAATTTTCCAGACGCATATACTGCAAATATATTGCTAAGCTGCGAGGCCAGGCCAGCCCGGACGACGCTATCCAGTGTCCCACACATTCCTGCCATTTTCCCCTCTCCGCACGGCCCCCTGCTAATGGGGAGTGATGAGCTCCTCCAAGGAAGCTTGGGCTTGGTAGGTGGGATTATTTCTACCAGTACCCTCCCCCTTACTCCTGGGCAGGACAAAACTTTCAACATGAGTCAAGGTTGCTAGTGGACCATAACGAATCAAAGTTGCTAGTGGACAATAAGGTTTTTGGAGGGTTTTTATTTGTTGTTACTGTTTTTATTTTGGGTTGCTGGGGGAGGATACTACATAAGTAACCACAGCACTAGAAACCTCAGCTGTCTGACACCTCCCAGAGGGAAGGAAACAAGATCCACCGCAGGAGGAAAGTGGGCTGTTTCAATTATCTCCCTGCCCAAAAAGAATAAATGCCAAGATTGTGTCTTAAAATACAATAATCCTCCAAAACATTCTCATTTTTACTTTTTTTTTTTTCCCTACACGATACCGTTTGGATTCCCAGTTTTCGTCCAACTCAGGCCCCACCCCACCCCCCGTGGCTGACATTCCATCGTGAGATCACCAACCTGGTACGTTACTGGGTCCTTCTTGGCTGCTGTTTCCGGAGGACGTTTCCGAAGTCTGAGAATTGCTTTCGTCAAACTCCCGCTTAAATATACACAGGAGGCAGGAGATCCTATAATCCAACCTCACATTCAAAATAAACTAAAGATTCAAGTGGAGATGGAAACAGATTGGTTACATTAACATAGCACCTCGAACCCTCTGCCAAGCCCACGCTCTCTGGCGGGGCCTGGTATCAACTGCATCAGTTACCTTAAGAGCTAAGGGAGTCAACTATTTGGCTGAGATTTCTTTCTATTTTTTTTATTTTATTTTGAGACACAGTCTCACTCTGTTGCCCGGGCTAGAGTGAGTGCCGTGGTGTCAGCCTAGCTCACAGCAACCTCCAACTCCTGGGCTCTAGCGATCCTCCTGCCTCAGCCTCCCGAGTAGCTGGGACTACAGGCATGCGCCACCATGCCCGGCTAATTTTTTCTATATATATTAGTTGGCCAATTAATTTCTTTCTATTTTTAGTAGAGACGGGGCCTCTCTCTTGCTCAGGCTGGTCTCGAACTCCTGACCTTGAGCGATCCGCCCACCTAGGCCTCCCAGAGAGCTAGGATGACAGGCGTGAGCCACCGCGCCCGGCCACGGCTGGGATTTCAACAGGCATCTCAACTCCAGCGCACTTCCACGGGGCCTGACAGATCAGCCCACAGCACCTTAGCGCCTGCTGTAAACTTCTGCATCCTGGCAATTAATTTAACAACTGGAACACTAAATCCCTCCCTCCCGTTCCACCCTCCCTAAAGCATATCTTCCCGACGCTAAGTGCCGAATGCCAACTCCGGGCTGAACTCCGACAAGAGCCAAGTTGTCTGCTTCGAATTTGAGAGAACTGACAGAGCTTTGCTTGCGCTACTGAAAATGAGCTTGGTTCGTATTTTCCACGTCCGCCTGCTTCCTACGATTTACGTGCAAGCCCTCGGGGAGTGTCTTTCACTTCCTGTATTCCCTCACCCTCTATTCCAGCACACGGTCACTTTTTCCAGGATTGCTGCTAGAACCAAGAAGAAAGAGCGACCAAGCTGGCATTATTTCAGGATCTCACTGAAATTCTTCTTTGTGTTCTCTCTCCCTCTCTCCGCTTTTGACCTCTCGGTGACCTTCCCCAATTTCGGGGCTGTCACCTCTCCCAGGTGGGACAGTTCTCTGGCCAGCACCCCAGTCTGAGGCTGTGTTCCCTCCTGCCTGTTGCACGGACACCCATCTGGTATCTTCCCAGAGACCCAAACTCAGTACTGCGCAAAACCAACCATGAAGGTTAATTGTAGGCATCAGCTTGACTGGACTATGGGCTACCCAGATAGCTGGTGAAGCATTATTTCCAGGTATGTCTGCGAGGGTGTCTCTGGCAGAGACTGGCATTTGAACCTGTGTATTGAGTAAAGGAGTTTCAGGCTCACCCAGTGTGGGTGGGCTGGGCACCGTCTAGTCCCTCGAGAGCCTGGAAAGACCAAAAAGGTGGAGGAAGAGCAAATTTGGTCTCTTCTGGAGCTGGGATACTCATCTTCTCCTGCCCTCAGACACCACAGCGCTGGGTTCTCAGGCTTTCTGCCTTGGACTCAGAGTTTCACCACCAGCTCCCCTGCGTCTCAGGCCCTGGGACTCAGACTGAATTCCACCACCGGTTCTCCTGGGTCTCAGCCTGCAGATGACACTAGAACTTCACAGCCCCTGTAACTACCGTGCTTCCCCGAAAATAAGACAGGGTCTTATATTTAGTTTTCCTCAAGAACACACCCTAGGGCTTATTTTCAGGGCATGTGTTATTTTTTTTAAGTACGGTGCAACCATCTACATTGATTCAAATAGAGTGAAGTCATATTCTGGAACATCATCCTCACTCTCCACACCCCGAATCCCATACTGAATGTCTTGCGACTCTGTTTCCTTTAGAACCATCTGCCCCGATCTCTCCTGTGGAGCACTAGAGCTGTCACGGGGCGGAGGAGAAGGGCTGCTCGTGTTCTTTCCCGCTCCGCGACGACACGCACGGGTTGTGCAGATGCTGCGCAGCCACGCCCGGCACTAGGGCTGATTTTCAGGGTGGGGCTTCTACTGCGCACATGCTTAGACATCCTGCCGGGGCTTGTTTTATGGGTAGGCCTTATTTTCGGGGAAACACGGTACATAAGCCAATGCCCTCTTGTGCATCTATACCTATCCTATGGGCTCTGTTTCTCTGGCAATGTCAGTCCTGCCCCAATCTACTGTCCCGCCTGGGTCCCCTTCACCTCAATCCATCTCAGGATCTTCCTCGCCTCCTTCCTGGATACACACGTCCAGCCAGGGACTGCGCCTGGCGGTTCCCCGCCTACCGCTTCTCACGGGTTTCTCCACCACTGCGACTGGTCCCTGCTCAAGTCCCCGTCTCTCCCAGCTAGGCCACCAACAGAACCCAACGCACCACATCTGCCTCCCCAGGCTGCTTCCTCCCGCGTGAGCCCCTGGCTTGGGGACTTTCAGAAGCTCAGCGCAGAATCAAGTCTTAACACCCGAGACGCCCCAAACTCCCTAGAGCGTGGCCCGGGTCTCCCTTCCAACTGCATTTCTGGCACCTGCTCTCCAACACCGCCTAGGTCTGCCCTGCCCGAGGAGAACCGCTGGCCGACCCACAGCCCACGACCACCTGCTTTAAGCCCCTCCATCCACCCGAGAAGGGCCTCTCATTCCATACGCACAGCCTGTCCACGCTTCAAAGCTCAGATGCACTCCTACCTCCTCTGCAAAACCTTCTCGGATCTCTACCCTGTGGAGCAGGGGTCCTCAAACTTTTTAAACGAGGGGCCAGTCCACTGTCCCTCAGACTGTTGGGGGGCCGTTGGAGAGTGCAGAGCACGTCCCACATATGCGCACTGCGGGCCCGGGACGCGTCGGCTGCTGAGCAGGACAGGCAGGGGCAGCAAAAACACCCGGCAGGCCGGATGAATGTCCTCAGTGGGCTGCATGTGGCCCACGAGCCGTAGTTTGAGGACGCCTGCCGTGGAGTCATGCGAGAACACGTGTGGCTCAGGAGAACACTTTTCTCACGGTTTCACGCCCAAATACCCAGAGCTTCTCACACTGCACCCTCCCCAGACTGCAACCCCTGTGCGCGCCGTCCCTGTCCGGATCCTTTCCGCATTCCTCACGGCGCCCAGCAAAGCGCCCCCCACACAGGAGGGCCGGGAAGAGTCTGCGGAAAGAATGGCTCAGTGGACCGGCCATTCTCACACCGCCAGGCCCCGAGAACAAGCCAGAGCTCTGGACCCATGTTTTGGGCATCTGTAACCTTGTTCTCCTGCCTGCGAATCTCCTACCCTGAAAAACGCCTTAACAGATTAAAAAAAAAAAAAAAAAAAAGCAGACCTCAAGATGCAACCAAGTTGCGCGCTGTGTCATTTCTCATCAACATACGTGACACTAACGTAACACACCCTGCTCTACTTTTGGTCCGGCATAAACACACCAAGATTTCTCCTTTACTTAAAGCTATTCTTTGTCATCCTAAGTAGACTTTGAGGAGTCCCAATCGTGCTTTCAAAAAGCATTGGTAGGCCGGGCGCAGTGGCTCATGCCTGTAATCCCAGCACTCTGGCAGGCCAAGGCAGGCAGATTGTTTGAGCTCAGGAGTTCGAGACCAGCCTGAGCAAGAGCGAACCCCATCTCTACTATAAATAGAAATTATCTGGACAGCTAAAAATATTTATAGAAAAAATTAGCTGGGCATGGTGGCACATGCTTGTAGTCCCAGCTACTCGGGAGGCTGAGGCAGGAGGATCGCTTGAGCCCAGGAGTTGGAGGTTGCTATAAGTGAGGCTGACACCACTGCACTCTAGCCTGGGCAACAGAGTGAGACTGTCTCAAAACAAACAAAAAACAAAAGCATTGGTAAAATGTGATTTAGGCTCAAAAAAGAAAAGAAACCCTCAAAGTGTGTGAACAGTCATAAAGACCTACTGTGTCTCCCACGACTGGGATCAGGCAACATGGGATCACAGGGCAAGGTGCTAACGTGATTCTTTCCTGTGAGGGGCAGGGGATTTTGCTGGCGAGTAAAAACACCTGCGTGGTACGAAGAGGGAAGCGCAGGTTGTCGGGCGGGAAATGACAGTGAGCGGCTCAGACGGAGGACCAGGCCCTCCTCGCGGGCTGCAGCCCTGCCCAACTCACCACGCACGCACTCTGCGCTCAACGATCCTCTCCCCCTTCCTACGATCATTGCATGCACCATACCAACTTCTATCTACCCACTTAAAAAAAAAATTGCAACAAAAATGGAACCTTCCGGTTACCAGCAATCGCTCTCTGCCCGTCCCCCTGCGTCTCTGTGCATCTTTACAGCCCACCGGGCCAAAAAGTTATGCATCTTTACTGCCCGGAATCCTCTCCTCCCATTCCTTCTTGAATCCAACCCCCGCCCGACCCGCGCTGGTGCAGGGTCTTTGCATTTGCTCCTCCCTCTCTCGGCCTGGGACGCTCTATTCCAGCGCCTTGCTTCCCCCAGGTCTCTGAGCACGTCACCTTCCAGGAGAGGCCTTCTCCGAGAAGCCCACCAGACGCGGAATCCCTGGCCCCCGTGGTCTCCAAGGCATCCCGACCCTCCTTCCTATTTTGACATCTTGTAGCGCTTATTTTTAATTCATGCCTATGCCCCCTATCAGAATCTAAGTTATCTGGGAGCAGGAATTTAATCTAGTTTGTTCCTTGCTAGATCCCCTGAACCAAAAGGGACTTGGCACAGAGTTGGTCTCCATAAATATTTTAAGAAAGAAAAGAAAGAAGGGAAAGGGAGGGAGGGAGGAAAACAGGAGGAAGGGGAGGGGAGGGGAGGGGAGGGGAGGGAAAAGAGAAAGGGAGGGAGCAAGGAGGCTCTGCAGTGCTACTGGGACCTTGGACCGAATCACGAGGAGCCACGTGGAGAGGCAGGTAAGTGAACTCTAAGCAGAGGGAGGCCAATGACCATGGAAAGCTGAGGTCACTATGGGAGGTCTGGCATGGCTGGAGTGGCGGTCACATTGGGGAGGGGTGGGAGGTGACAGTAAAGGGATCACGAGAAGCCAACGCACAAATGATACAGAGGGGTGAACTGAGAACGTGGCCCTCCTTTTCTTCCCAGGGAGCCCTGGTTCCATCAAGGCAGAGAGGCTGGATCTGGAGGGTGGCCCCGGCCCTGCCGACGGGTACCTGGAGGATCTCAATGATCTTCAGCTTGGTGTCCATGACCATGATGTCCTCCTTCTCGGGCTCCGCCTGCTTCACGTTGCCCTCGGGCGCGGCGGCCATGGGCGCCATGGGCAGAAAGCCCCCGCCGCGCAGCACCACCTGCGTCATCAGCTCCCCCACGCCGTGGATCGACCTCATCACGTTGCTGCCTGGGAGGGGCAGGGCAGACCGCGGTCACCACACCTCCGGACAGACCGGGCATCCGCCATCACCCAGCACGTCCCCTGCATGCCGGCATGTTCTCAAGACCCTGGGAACCCGGAAAGGGCAATGCACACCAAAACCCTGGGACTTCTGAGGGCAGTGGAAAGGCCCTGGGCTTTAAGATCCCCAAAGGAGCACTGCCGTTTGTGCATTCATCTTCCCGATTTTTATCAGTCACCAGCTATGCGCTTGTTACTATGCACAGAACTAGGGATGTAAGAGTGAGCACGGCACTAATCCTGGCCCTGCTACCAAAAGCTGCTTGATCTTGGGTACGGTATGTTACCTCTGGGGTTCAGTGTCCCCTTCTATACAGTGAAAATCAAGGAGCTCAACAAAAGGCTTAAATGGCCTAATATACACAAAATGACTAAGCAAATAGTGGGAGAAAAGTCAACGTACTTTTCCTGTTCTAGCTGCAGAAGACCAGTTAAACAAAAATCTATACGTGATCTAACAAATACGTGCCACTCTGACCCTAAACCGCAGGAAGGAATAAACACTCGAAGACAGATTTTCCTATCCAAAGACTTCACAACGTGGCAGTAGCTACCAAGAAACAAGCCTGGATCTTATTTCATCATACATGAATATTATCATCAAGGGCCTCATGAATATCAAGAACAATGACAAGGCACACATTTTTGAGAGGGAAACATTCCAAACGTTGGGTGTAAGTTTCAAATGATTCAACACATAAATGAACATAAAGGAAAAGCAGCAAAACGTTAGGAACAGTGGACTCTTAAGTCATGGGTATAAGGGACCCCGCTGTACTGTTCTTTCTGCTTTTCTTTACACAGTTGTGGAGAACGGTCACAATGCAAGGCTGGGAAGGAACGGACGCGGAAGGAACGTGGATGGCGCGTGAGGAATGCATGAGCGTGACAGGGAAGGCCGGGGGGGCGTCGCTCAGGTGTGCGCCACCGCCAGATACTCACTCTTCAGCTTCTCCACCTCATCGTTACCTTTGCTCTCGTCCCCTTTCGGCATCTTGCTGATGGGGAAGATCGTGGTCACGTGCACGCAGTCCAGGATGGCCAGGAGGATCTTGGTTAATCGCAGAAGGTCAGAGAAGTTGTAGAAACCAAAGTAGATGAGATTCCTGGCTAAATTTACGACCTAGTGCGTGAAGAAGAAAACAAAGACAATGGTGTTTTGTGAACTGCATCCTTCGGTTCCATTTGACGTTGACAATTCAAGAGTGACGGGCGTTGGCCTTCCTTACAGTAAGGGAAGGCACATGTTTCGCTTGCCATTTCGGATAACATTTCACTTGCTTTCCTAAGGAGGAAAAATAAGAAATGGAAACCTGCAAAACCACTGATCTGCTTTGATAACTAGTTAATGTAACAACAACAAAAAAAGGACCGAACCATTGGGTCTGCACAGCTTAACCCAGAACTAGTATCAGGCAAGAAGAGTTATTCCTAACAAGGACGTGGAAAACAACACTGCACTCCTCAAAAATGTAACTCTCAAAAGGCAAAAGGGGTCTCAGAAACATTTTCACTCAAAGGTGGTAAGGATCAACGTTCCTCAAACGGTTAATCTACGGCAGATTCCAAGCACAGTCTGTTTCTCTCCTGTCATTTTTAATACAGAGTATAGCGTATGCACGATGTTCTATCCTTCTATGTGACCCAACTTACCTTGGGTATTTCTTTTACAAACGTAATTACTATTAACCAAGGGATTGCCAGTTCTATTTCACACTGGGAAAACTGAGCTCAATCTCTTTTTATTACAAAACAAGAACATTAGCCGGGAGCGGTGGCTCACGACTGTCATCCTAGCACTCTGAGAGGCCAAGGCAGGAGGATCGCTCAAGGTCGGGAGTTCGAAACCAGCCTGAGCAAGAGCGAGACCCCGTCTCTACTAAAAATAGAAAGAAATTGGCTGGCCAACTAAATATATATAGAAATATTAGCCGGGCGTGGTAGCGCATGCCTATCATCCCAGCTACTCGGGAGGGAGGCTGAGGCAGGAGGATCGCTTGAGCCCAGGAGTTGGAGGTTGCTGTGAGCTAGGCTGACACCACAGCACTCTAGCCCAGGCAAGTGAAAGAGAGACTCTGCCTCAAAATAAAAACCAGAACATCATGATTAAAAAAAAAATATCACCACCCACTCCAATATTTTCTATTTACCCCCTAGAAAAACGACCACTGAAACACAGACAACGCACATACCGTGTCGTTATGACTCACCTCAAACGTAAGCTTGTTTTTCTCCTTATCAGAGAAAGGAAACCTCTGACAAACCACGTCCCTTAAGTACTCCTCCACAAACTCCATGGTCTGAGCGAACCGCTCCTTGATTTCGTCTTTGGAAGCTCCACTGCTATCATAGCTGGAAGGAACGAAAAGGAAATTTCAAGTTCTCCCCGCTGACGCCTTCTTGGGCCTCTCAGCCTCAGAAGTCAACGTCCTGCAGCCCTTTCTGACTTTGTTTTCTTCTCAGCGCGTATCACCAATGCCGTATCATCGGCATCGATCTTGCCTGTCGTCTGTCTGCCCGCAACTAGCCACGAAGTTGTTTTCTAGCTTCCTCACTGATACGCTGGTTGGCACAGAGCACACAGGTAAGTATTTGTAGAATTAAAGAGAGAGATAAACAAGAGGCATAAAAAGACAATTATGTGGCCGGGCGCGGTGGCTCACGCATGTAATCCTAGCACTCTGGGAGGCTGAGACAGGAGGATCGCTCGAGGTCAGGAGTTCGAAACCAGCCTGAGCAAGAGCAAGACCCTGTCTCTACTAAAAATAGAAAGAAATTAATTGGCCAACTAAAACAAAAATATAGAAAAAAATGAGCCGGGCATGGTGGCGCATGCCTGTAGTCCCAGTTACTCGGGAGGCTGAGACAAAAGGATCGCTTGAGCCCAGGAGTTGGAGGTTGCTGTGAGCGAGGCTGACGCCATGGCACTCTAGCCCCGGCGACAGGGTAAGACCCTGTCTCAAAAAAAAAAAAAAAAAAAAAAAAACCCACACACAATGATGCTATTCTTCACATTTGTAAGGAAAGAAATGTTTGCCATCCACTTAATTTTATTTTAAGCTTAAAAAAAAAAAATGGCTTCATTTTTCTCCTGTGACTGAACTAGACCCTGGGTGGTTTATCTACTGCTGTGCAGCATATTACAAACGTGAGGTTTTAAAGTGACAAGAGTGGCCGGGCGCAGTGGCTCACACTTGTAATCCTAGCACTCTGGGAGGCCGAGGCGGGAGGATCGCTCGAGGTCAGGAGTTCAAAACCAGCCTGAGCAAGAGCGAGACCCCGTCTCTACTATAAATAGAAAGAAATTAATTGGCCAACTAAAAATATTTATAGAATAAATGAGCCGGGCATGGTGGTGCATGCCCGGAGTCCCAGCTACTTGGGAGGCTGAGGCAGGAGGATGGCTTGAGCCCGGGAGTGTGAGGTTGCTGTGAGCGAGGCTGACGCCACGGCACTCTAGCCCGGGCGACAGAGAGAGACTCTGCCTCAAGAGAAAGAGTGACAAGAGGGCGAGGGCGCTGGCTCACTCGTCGATGGCGATCTCGGAGGGGATCTCGGACCAGAGGCGGGCGTATTTCACGGGCGTGACCTGCTCCTGCGGGTCGCGGTCCACGTGCATGTGCAGCATGAGGCGGCAGAAGGACGCCCGCAGGTCGTAGGGCAGGTTCTCGTCCGACATGCAGCGCAGGATGAGGTCCACGTCCAGCTGGCCCGAGATCTCGTTGATGGCCAAGTACTGGCGGTCCAGACACATCCTGGCGAACAGGTTCAGCTGGTACCTGCGGGGGCACAGGGGACACACGCTCGCGCCCGGGAGACCCCGGGATGTACGGACACACCGCGGACAGCCCGGAGGGGCCCGGCTGCTACAGCGGTGACGTTCAGCCTCGGAACCCACACGCCAACACCCCAAAGCGCTCTTGCACACCGCGTTTCGGCTGTGCGTGCCACATGCAGGAATGGAAGGGAGGAGAACAGAACGCAGGAGGTAAGAGAAGGCATTTCCACTGCAGAGTTTTATTTATTAAAAAAAATACTGGAATCCTGCACTGTATCCCTCCCCTTTTCTCAGTATTTACTGGCTCATTTATCTTCCCTCCCGGTGGCAGGGCTAGTGAGTTCTAGAGCCGGAGCCAAGGAGACACAGGGGCTGAGGGGACAAGCAGCAGAGGTGAGGTGGTGACGCAGTGGGACAAGCAAACAGCTGGGCAACCCGGGAAACAGCGGGCATGTATCCGGCCCGCCGGGTGTCTTTGCCGCCGCTGCCTGTCCTGCTTAGCAGCCGACGCGTCCCGGCCCGCAGTGCGCATGTGTGGAATGTGCGCCGCGCTCTCCAACGGCCTGAGGGACAGTGAGCTGGCCCCCTGTTTAAAAAGTTTGAGGACCCCCAAGCTAGAGTGATGATCCCGTTGGTGTTGGGATGGAACTGGAAGCATGAGTGGAAACTCAAGGTTTTTACTGCATATTCGTACACAGTAACAGATGTGTGCATTACATATATAAAACTACATACATACGCACGCAGACACGCACATACCATCTAGCTCTGTCCGTGAACGTGCCATGGGACTGGCACTATCGCCTCTATTTTGCAGATAAGGAAACTGGAGCATTAAGTAACGTGACCAAAGTCAAAAACCCACCGAGCAGAGAGGCCGGGATTTGACCCGAGGGAGCCTGCCCGCCCGCCACCTGCTGCCACGGTCAACTGCCAGCAGGGCTGATGCCAGACGCAGCCACACCCCGACGTCCCGGAACTAAGGATCGCCGAGATCTCCCCCCCCACCTCCCGAAACGCTCACCTGGCTTTTTGCTAGACAGTCTTACCCTAGGGTGCCCTGCGATTCCTCCCAGTAAAAACAACCCACAGCGATCGGTCCCTAGCGCCACCCTCTGGGGCCGCCCGCCCCGAGCCCGCACGCCCCGGTCACCTGTAGTAGCTGAGGACGTCCCGGTCCTCCTTCTGCCCTTCCTTGGCGTCCTGCGCCAGCTCCCGCACGCTCTTGCTGCGGATCTCCTTGTCGCTGTCCCTCCAGAACAGCCACACCTCCTCCTCGTCCTCCGCGGCCTCCAGGGCGCTCTCTCCCGTGGACACGCCTTCGAACTCGAAACGCGACAGAACCAACCTGGAAAGGCGGAGGGGGGAAGCCGTTACTTTCTGGAAGCCGTTATGAAATCTGGCTTCGCCTGCAGCGTGAAGGCGCACAGAAGGCCACCCGGTTCGGCGTATTTTCCTTACGGGCAGAGCCACGAGGAGCCCAGCCATAACCTCTGCATACGCTGCAACCCGGGGGTCCCCAAGTGGGGTGATTCTGCCCCGCGAGGACATCTGGCCATGCCTGAGGACGTCTTTGGTTGTCACGACAGAAAGGGAAGGGCATTGCTGGCGTCTACTGGGCAGAAGCCGGGGTGCAGCTGAACCCCCTGCAACGCACACGGGACAGTCCCCACGACCAACAGTCACCCAGCCCAAAATGGCAAAGTGCCAAGGCTGAGAAACCTGCATCACCCGAGCCCAGCACTGAGCCGCGCATCAGTGAAAAAACCAAGCCACAGCTAAGGGCATCACTCAGCACTTTTTCCAAATGCTGTCCACGTTGCTGGCCCTGTACTTGCCAGGAAAACTGCTCCTTTGCCAGAAGTGAATGACCGAAACTCCTGTGGGCCAGCGAGCACCTTTTCTACAGTGACAACTTAAAAACTCTAACAGTGAAAGTTAATTAGGCCTTTCACATTTTTCAATTGATGATCACACTTATGGAATCTGAAACTCTTAAAATTAAACTACATGTGTGTAAAAACTCCCCGTGGTGAGTTTACACGACTTTTTTTTTATTTTTTTTCTGAGACAGAGTCTCGCTTTGTTGCCCAGGCTAGAGTGAGTGCCGTGGCGTCAGCCTCGCTCACAGCAACCTCCAACTCCTGGGCTCAAGCGATCCTCCTGCCTCAGCCTCCCGAGTAGCTGGGACTACAGGCATGCGCCACCATGCCCGCCTAATTTTTCTATATATTTTTAGTTGGCCAATTAATTTCTTTCTATTTTTAGTAGAGACGGGGTCTCGCTCTTGCTCAGACTGGTTCTGAACTCCTGACCTTGAGCGATCCTCCCGCCTCGGCCTCCCAGAGTGCTAGGATCACAGGCGTGAGCCACCGAGCCTAGCCAAGTTTACATGACTTTTTTAAACCCGGATGCAAAGTAAGGGACACCACTGTGCAGAGGAAGCCACACCCAAAACAAACTCAGTAATTCTTTAAACCAAGACTTTGCTACGAGGAAGATCAAGCGCCAGCGACCCCGACTTCAGACCAGCACAAGAAACTAAGCGGTCAGCTTTTATCCCTCACGGGCACAAATATCCACCGGCCCGCACGCTTTCCACCTCAACCCCTTCTCCCCGTCTGTATCTCGAACCCCAGACCGCGCTCACTTGGTCTCGATGAGGATGTCGGCGTTGGTGGGGTTGAGCACGGCCTTGCATATCAGCTCCTGGGTCACTGGGATGGACTTGTTCATGGACACACAGAGATCGGACAGGTAATCCAGGAATCTATCCGGAAAGACAGACAGAGCAAAACGTTTCCTGTAGACAGAGCAGAGGCTCAGGTTCTTGGAGCCTGACTCTTCCGCTGGGGGACAGGCCCAAGGTCCCTTGAACAGAAGGCAGTGGCACTTTAGGTTTTGGTGTCCGGAAACCCAGACGCCAGAGAGCAGCAGCAAGCAGCCAAGGAGGAAGACGGCAGCGGCTGTGGCCGAGGGGCAGGTGGGGAAGAAGTGAGAAGGAGCAAGACGAGGAAGCAGCTCACACCAGGAAGGACCAGAAGGACACGGGAGCCAGAGCCGCCAGGGCCAGGCCCTGCCGCCCGCCCGCCTGCCCAGTGGGAAGCCTGGCTCGATGCTTCCTAGCTGAGTTCTGATATGGACGTTATTTGGGGAAATTACTTAACCTCACTGTGCTTTTGGTTTTCCTTTTCTTTCTTCTGAGACAGAATCTCACTCTGTTGCCCAGGCTAGAGTGAGTGCCGTGGCATCAGCCTCACTCACAGCAACCTCCAACTCCTGGGCTCAAACAATCCTCCTGCCTCAGCCTCCCGAGTAGCTGGGACTACAGGCATGTGCCACCATGCCCGGCTCATTTTTTCTATGTATTTTTAGTTGGCCAATTAATTTCTTTCTATTTTTTAGTAGAGACGGGGTCTCGCTCTTGCTGAGGCTGGTTTTGAACTCCTGACCTTGAGCGATCCTTCTGCCTCAGCCTCCCGGAGTGCTAGGATGACAGCCGTGAGCCACTGTGCCCAGCCTGAACAGTCTCTTACTGAGCATCTGCTAAGTGACAGGCACTTCCCATGCACGTGTTCTCTTTTAACTTTCAGAGCTGCCCACTTAGCAGGCGAGGAGATTAAAGCCCAGGAAAAGAGCCACGGTCTCCGGCTGGTGCACTCAGGGCTAGGGTTAGAGCTGGGACTTCACCCCCGACCCTCACCACCGACTCGTTCCAAGAATTCCGATGCCATGTGCTTGCTTACTAGTTAGGAGTCAAAAGAGCCTCCCGACACCTAACTCAGCGAGACCTGCCGCTAGCAGCCACAGGAAAGGAAGGCCAGGAAAATGCACCGGCTAAGTCCCTGCATCTTAAACGCAGAGATGCCGCTGTCCCTCCCGCCATCCCGCCCCAGGGACCCCACGCCCACCTCACCTGGGCTCCCTGTTCTTCCGCACCAGACTGACAAACGTGTCGATCTCTGCGGCGGTGATGTGCTTTTCCAGAAGTTTCCGGTTGTTGTGCAGCAGGGCAGTGATGGTGTCTTCGGCCAGCACGTCGTAGCCGATCTGCTTCTGCATGAAGCCGAACTGCTTGGCTATGTACTCCTTTTAGGGACGGAGAAGAGAGGTCAGCAGGAAGGAGGGAAGGCAATTCGGATGAGTTTAAAACAAGCGAGCCAGGAACCTTCCCTGGTGAGAAGGACCACTCCCAGGGCTAATCACAGCAGAGCGAAGCATCTTTCTAGAACTTTCTACCCTGGGCCAATACCTGCGAACTCCCTTGCATCCTTTATTTTACTAAACCTGCCATACAAATGTAATTAAGCAAAACATCCGTGTTTACGTATGGATATTTTATTAAGTGCACAGTATACATTTTAGTCCAGTGACTTTTTTAAAAGGTCAAAGGTTGGTTTTTTTAACCTCTGAATTTATTACTAATTCAGGAGGACTTAACTGTGCCCCACTGCTCCGTGCTGCTAGTTAAACACAGGTTGAGCCTACCTGGAATTTGAAGCAATGCTACCCCCCATTTCGTTTTCTTTATCTGGGGTAAAAATACATTTTTGAAAGTCAGTGGGTAGCACACAAGACAGTAAGGAATACCTGAGACCATCAGTTATGTTCATGGAAAACATGAATATAACTTTGGAATCAGACATCTCTCTTTTGGAATCAGACATCACATTCCATAGAAATAAGTGTGAACTCGAGGAAACCTCTTATGAATAGTTTGTTTCTGTACAAAGAGATGTCCCTGCCCAGGATAGACTGCTTGCTCAAAATGCAAGTGGCTCCTGAAACTTGCTTAATTTTTTCCCATTAATTCCTACATCCTGGCAACTATTCAGGATTAGCCTGTTGGACACAGGCCATGTGTCTCAGCCTGTATCAATAAGGACGCACGTGTGGGAATCCATCATCTGCCAACCGACCGTACACAAGCAAGCAAAGATGTAAAGTCCAGGAACAGAAAGGGAGACTGATTTAGTTTCCTCTTGTGCATGCAAAATGTCCTGGCATACGCTACAGACCCTGATATACCTTCATCTGAAGATGGAAGAGAGGAGCAATATAAAATCCCTCTGGCACTATTTGGTTATGTTTAATTATCAATGCACTGAAACTAACCACAGCTTGCTAACAAGATTAGATTTCTGAAGCACCACTTAAGGTCAACACTACACCTTTCTGATGACACGACAAAAACTTTTAACCACAAAGTATAGATTTAAAGACCAGTTGCAGAGGCAGGTGAAAACCTTAAAAACAAAAGCCTCTTGCACCACAAGGTAGGGATAATTAACATAAAAAGTCTAGAGTCGAGGTTATTATAATAAGCATGCTTTTGTATGTGTAAACCAAGTCCCCAACCTACGGTGAGTTGTATAATTATTTCATTATATATTGCAATGTAATAATAATAAAGTGCACAATAAATGTAATGTACCTGAATCACCCCCGAACACCCCCACCACCCCACCTCCTGGTCCATGGAAAAATTGTCTTCCATGAAAATGGTCCCTGTTGCCAAAAAGGTTGGGACCGCTGGTCTCCAGGACTTCATATAATACAGCTTTTCGTAATCTCAGCGTTAATGGCATTTTGAGCAGGACAAGTGTTTGTTTTGGAGGGGTGTCCTGCACCTTGTTAGGTGTTTGAGAGCATCCTTTGTTTTTATCCACTAGATGCCAGTAGCATCCCCAAGTTTGAACACTCAGAAGGGTCTCCAAACAACTGTCAAATTTCGCTGGGGAACAAAATCGCCCCAACTGAGAACCACTGATACAGCAAACACAGTTCTCGAGTTTCCTTAGAATCCTACCGTTGTTTGGAGCCCCCCAAAGAGGTTAGAACATTCATTTCATGGGAGACAAACAACACACATATAGTACGTGTATATGTAGTGAATGTAAGTACACACACATACTATGAATATCTATGTATAACATACACGTATCTATAGATAATGACTTAGAATACCACAAAATGTAAGCCAGAACCAAAATAAAAAGAATGTTCCCAGCAAAGATGGAGGATAGAAAGGGAAAGATTCTACTATATCTTTAACATAAACACACTGGATCATTTCACCCCTCGGCCTTAAGGGAAAATATGCCATTAAAAATACTACAAATGCGCCACCAAGGCCCAAACAGAAACCTCATGGAGAGGTGGCAGCAGCAGGAGAACTCGCTGGAACCTTGCTTAAGGATTCTGCAATAACATTCTCCCTGGGCTTGCAAAACAATGTGTGTTTCCTTTCCAAGAGGAAACAAGCACTAGCTATTCTCTATCCCTTACAATTCAGGGCTCCTCAAACGTTTTAAACAGGGGCCAGGTCACTGTCCCTCAGACCGTTGGAGAGTGCGCACTGCGGGCCCGGGACGCGTCGGCTGCTGAGCAGGACAGGCAGCGGCGGCAAAAGCACCCGGTGGGCCGGATCAATGTCCTCGGCGGGCCGCACGTGGCCCGCGGGCCGCAGCCGGAGGACCCCCCCACACACACGACACTTAGACTTCACGAGGAAAGCGCGTGAACCCCGGGGAGAAAGCCGAGGCCCTCCCGCGCCCGGCCCACCTGGTTCTTCCTGTAGTCCTGCTGCGAGTGTCGCAGCACGCGGTAGCACAGCCGGCAGATGTGTCTGAAGGGCGCGTGCCGCTGGTCCCCCAGCTCCTCCAGCCGCAGCATCGGGCCGTCCCCGCAGTCCGTGAACGGCGCCTGCAGCAGCTTGAAGATCTGTGGGCGACAGCGAGGAGGACACCCGGCATCACTGAGCGCGGCCAGGCTAAGCCTCCGCCCAGGAATCACACAAGCTCCACCGCGGCCGGACTAGGCGGGACAGTTTCCCCATCCACACACACTGTGTCTCCCCAAAAATAAGATCTGCCTGTAAAACACGCCCTAGCAGGATGTCTGAGCATGTGCCCAATAGAAGCCCCACCCCGAAAATGAGCCCTAGTGCCGGGCGTGGCTGCGCAGCATCTGCACAACCCGTGCGTGTCGTCGCGGAGCGGGAAAGAACACGAGCAGCCCTTCTCCTCCGCCTGTGACAGCTCTAGTGCTCCACAGGAGAGATCGGGGAGATGGTTCTAAAGGAAACAGAGTCGCAAGACATTCAGGATGGGACTCGGGGCTTGGAGAGTGAGGATGATGTTCCAGAAGAAGATGACTTCACTATATTTGAATCAACATAGATTGTTGTACCGTGCTTAAAAATAATAACACATGCCCTGAAACTAAGTCCCAGGTGTATTCTTTTTTTTTTTTTTGGAGACAGAGTCTCGCTTTGTTGCCCAGGCTAGAGTGAGTGCCGTGGCATCAGCCTAGCTCACAGTAACCTCAATCTCCTGGGCTCAAGTGATCTTCCTGCCTCAGGCTCCCAAGTAGCTGGGACTACAGGCATGCGCCACCATGCCTGGCTGATTTTTTCTATGTGTATTAGTTGGCCAATTAATTTCTTTCTATTTATAGTGGAGACGGGGTCTCGCTCTTGCTCAGGCTGGTCTCGAACTCCTGACCTCGAGCCACCAAATTCTGAGCAATTTGAGTTAAAATGAGAGTGGTTTATCTATGCTTGTGAGAAGGAAGGTGGTGGTCAAAGAAGCAAAAAATGGTTACAAGGCTGGTGCAAGATAGCTGCAAGGCTTGTATAAAGTTGAGATTACAAAATATGAGGTTGAGGCCGGGCGCGGTGGCTCATGCCTATAATCCTAGCACTCTGGGAAGCCGAGGCGGGAGAATTACTCAAGGTCGGGAGTTCAAAATCAGCCTGAGCAAGAGCGAGACCCTGTCTCTACTATAAATAGAAAGAAATTAATTGGCCAACTAAAAATATATAGAAAAAATTAGCCGGGCATGGTGGCGCATGCCTGTAGTCCCAGCTACTCGTGAGGCTGAGGCAAAAGGATCGCTTGAGCCCAGGAGTTGGAGGTTGCTGTGAGCTAGGCTGACGCCACGGCACTCTAGCCTGGGAAACACAGTGAGACTCTGTCACCAAAAAAATTTTGAGGTTGTCTAACTTGCATAAGATTGTGGTTTGATCAAATGTAATTTTGGTTGCTTAACCATACCGTTTTACTGTATAAGCCTTGCAGTTGTGCTATTATTAGGGAGTGTGGAAAATTTCCCTTACAACAAGGATGCCATAAGGATGAAAAAGGGGTAACAAGCCTGACAGGCATCATCCATGAAGGCTCCTGCCACCGAATCCATCCTTTTGGCCCCTCAAGGAATTGCTATTGTAGAAACAGGCATTGGCCAGTCTGATTTGGGAGTCACTGCACGAAACAGCTGTACATAATTTATTCTTGGACTTGAAACCCTTGTTGAAGCATGATGGATTGTTCATAAATTCTGACTATATCACAGAGCAAAAGGAGAAAGGATTCTCAAATGCCACAATCCTATGGAGAACGGTGAGACTTGCACTAATGTGTTTCTCTTTTAGCTTTGGTGGCCAGAAACTTCCACCCCAAGCCGGTGGGTCAATCTCAGTAGGTTCACAGAAAGATGTGCATCTCTGTGCATTTCGCCTAACTTGGACCTGGCACTTTCCTGCCTGTGACTTGTCTGTACAGCAGTTTATTTACATCAAATAATAACCATCTATGTATTTCTAGTAACCCACTACTCACTCTTTATGGCAAGATTTTATGGTGATTTATAGGATGCACTGTAAGAGCTGATATAGGCCTTCCAAGTTTATCAAATACTCCCAATCTCCCAAACATAAAGATATAACCATAAGGACACATTGTACTTTATATATTTTGGGGGAAAATAAAGTTGTCAGCTGACCGCTACTTGAGGTTCCTAACAGGTAAACTCTCACATGATTTATATTCAACAAGTATGGTGAAAATCAAACAGGCCAGGCACAGTGGCTGACGCCTGTAATCCCAGCACTCTGGGAGGATTTTTTGAGGCCAGGAGTTCAAGACCAGCTGGAGCAAGAATACCGTCTCTACAAAAAAATAGAAAAAAAAATTAGCTGGCCGTGGAGGTATGCACCAGTACTACCAACTACTCAGGAGGCTGGGGCAGGAGGATCGCCTGAGCCCAGGAGTTTGAGGTTGCAGTGAGCTTGGATGATACCACTGCACTTTAGCCTGGGTGACAGAGTGAGACTATTGCCAAAAGAAAGAAAAAAAAAAAAATCAAACTGCGCCATCAAGCCATGAAAAGACATGAAGGAACCTTGGATGCATCAATCTGAAAAGGCTACAGACTGCATGATTCCAACTCTATCACATTCTGTAAAAGGCCAAACCATGGAGACAGTGAAAAGATTAATGGTTGGGAAGGGTTATTGGGGAGTAGGGATGAATGGGCAGAGCACAGAGATTTCAAGGTGGTGACACTACTGTGCGTGATACTATAATGAAGGGGTACATGTCATTGTACACTTGTCCACATCCACACAATATACACCGCCAAGAGTGAACCCCGATGTAAACTATGGACTCTGGGATGATGGGTTAATGTAGGTTCGTCAATTGCAATAAACAGACCACCTTGATGCACGCATCTGACAGTGGGGGAGGCTGGGTGGGGAGGGGGAGGGGGCGTAGGGTCTCTGTACTTCATCCTGCTGTGAACTTATACCTCTCGATAAAGGGCTGATAACTAGAATCTATTGAGAACTCAGGAAAATCAGCCAGAAAAAATCAACAACCCAACATAAAATGGGCAAAGGACATGAACAGAAACTTTTCAAAAGAAGACATAATAATGGCCAACAACCATATGAAAAAATACTCAACATCTCTAATCATCACCGAAATGCAAATCAAAACCACAATGAGATATCACTTATCCCTAGTGAGAATGGCCTTTATCAAAATGCCCAAAGACAACAGATGTTGGTGTGGATGCGGAGAGAGAGGAACACTCCTACACTGCTGGTGGGACTGCAAACTAGTTCAACCTCTGTGGAAAGCAATATGGAGATACCTTAAAGCGATACAAGTAGGTTTTACCATTTGATCCAGCAATCCCACTGCTGGGCATCTACCCAAAAGATCAAATGACACTCTACAAAAAAGATACATGCAACTAAAATGTTTATAGCAACACAATCCACAATTGCAAAGCTGTGGCAACAACCCAAGTGCCCATCAATTCATGAGTGGATTAATAAAATGTGGTATATGTATACCATGGAGTGCTATTCAGCTATAAGAAACAACAGTGATCTAGCACCTCTTGTATTTTCCTGGATGGAGTTGGAGCCCATTCTACTAAGTGAAGTATCTCAAGAATGGAAACACAAGCACCACATGTACTCACCAGCAAATTGGTATTAACTGATCAATGCCTAAGTGAACATATAGGAATTGCATTTATCGGGTGTCGGGCAGGTAAGGGGGGGTGGAGGGGATGGGTATAACAAACACAATGATTAAGATGTGCAACGTTTGGGGGATGGACACGCTCGAATCTCTGACTCTACCAGGGTGGGGGGGGCATGGGCAATATATGTAACCTTAACACTTGTACCCCCATAATACGTTAAAATTAAAAAAGAAAACAACTACTCTCAAAATCTATTAAAACTTCAGTTGATCGAGTCTACCAGGTGAGAACCCCAACACGCCTCCATAAGAGCAGTGATCCCACTGATTTATTTATTTATTTATTTTTCCCTGAGACAGAGTCTCACTCTGTTGCCTGGGCCAGAGTGTCGTGGCGTCAGCCTAGCTCACAGCAACCTCCAACTCCTGGGCTCAAGCGATCCTCCTGCCTCAGCCTCCCGAGTAGCTGGCACTACAGGCATGTGCCACCATGCCAGGCTTATTTTTTCTATATATTTTTAGTTGGCCAATTAGTTTCTTCTATTTTTAGTAGAGATGGGGTCTCGCTCTCGGGCTTAGGCCGGTTTCGAACTCCCGACCTTGAGCGATCCTCCCGCCTCGGCCTCCCAGAGCGCTAGGGTTACAGGCGTGAGCCACCGCGCCCGGCCACGAGCAGTGAGCCCACACTGGTTTCTTACAGGGGTAACCCCCACACCTCACTGACCTGCTTGAGAATATTCTGTTCTCTCATCAGTTTCTGCCGTTCTCGGTTGGGTTTGGAAAAGACCACTTCGAGCACGTCTTGGCCAGAATTGGTTCCACCGGTGACAAAGTAAACCAAATCTTCCAGCAGCTTGGTGACAGACCTTGGGAGGAGAAAAAGCTATTAGAGATAGAAGCGTTCAAATTTGGAAGCTTCACCGTGGGAACCTTCTGGAAGACAACCCAGTCGAACGGGCCCAGACCCGTGCTTTCCGATTTCCTCGAACCTAACAAGCGAGGCCGAGCACCAACAGGACCGAAACGCAGAAGACACATCATTGTCCCCACAAGGATGATCGATCTCCCTCGCAAAACACCAGCCGCCGAATTTTATCTCAGAGTGACCTCGTGACACGGAGCCCCACGGTTCCAGAGACCAAGTGTGAGACAGCGACAGAGAGATCTTTGTAACTTTAGAGACGCTCAAAAACTGAGTGCAAAAGGACTACTTTTTGGAAAATGACGAACTGAAGCCGGCCCTCCATGCTCGGGCAGGCCACCATCCCTCGCAGCTGCTCAGAGCCACCACGCTCCCACTCCCAGGGCTGCCGGGGGGCCGCAGGGGAGGGACAGCCGTCGCGGGCCTGCGCGCACTCACCTTCTCTCGTTCTGCGTGATGGTGCCCTTCTCCAGCTTCCCCGCGATGGAGCCCAGCACCTTGCTGGCATCGTTGGCGAAGTCCAGGTCCCGGACTTCGGCCGGAGAAACCGGAACGATGGCGAACGCCTCCTTATCCTCCTTCACGGGGGACGTCCCGATCTGAAATTCCAGGGGCCTTGGTGAGACAGTCTCTCGGACGGAGAGGGCAGGACATCAGTCATAACGCTATGCTTAGCTAAAAATATGTACAAAAAAATGAGCCGGGCGTGGTGGCGCATGCCTGTAGTCCCAGCTACTCGGGAGGCTGAGGCAGGAGGATCGCTTGAGCCCAGGAGTTGGAGGCTGCAGGGAGCCAGGCTGACCCCACGGCACTCACTCTAGCCAGGGCGACAGAGTGAGATTCTGTCTCAAAAAAAAACAAACAAACACACACACACTATGTTTACAGGATATTCAGCAATCAAAAACTGAGGAGCTATCTCGCAGTTACAATGACACAGGAAGACACGTGGAAGGACGTGCTTCGAATGGCTAACAGCTGTCATCTCTGGAAACTGGTGTCGTGGGGACCGGTGAGGCAGGAGAGGGGACGCCATTATCATTTTGTAACTTCATGTGTTACAGGGAACATGTAAGGTTCTTGTAATTAAAGCAGATGTCTACATCTAAACACGCAGAGAAAAAAGCAAATACGGCAAATGGTAAGTGTTGGCCCTAAGTGGGGAGTATTACAAGGTAGACACTGTTCTTCCAACTTTTCTATAAACCCGAAAATGTTCACAAAAGTAGCAGGAGAAAAATCCCATCATCTTCCCCAATGCCACGACAAAAGGAACGCTCCGTGTGAGTATGCTTCCGTTTTTTAGAAGAAAAACCCCATGTGTGTGTAATTATGTCTACACACCTAGAGACAGAAGGGAGAGAAAGTAAAGGGGCTGAGAGAACTTTCAAGAAATAAAAGTGTATAGTGCAATACACGGAGAAATAAATAATAGAGACTGGGGGAGAATCACCTAGACATTGGATACACCTCAGGGCAGAAGCCATATGGAATAGAGTAAAAGGTTCTGGTTATTTCAAAAGCCCTGGGCTTGCTTCACCCAGGTCTCTTGGGGAGAATTTCTTCGCCTCATTCAAGTCTGGCACGACCACGCTCTTGCCAAAGCTACAAGAACGTCACAGCGTCATACCTCCGCCTGCCTGTCCTCAAAGGAGCCTTCTCGTGAGGGAGCACGGGACCAAGAGGCGGCGGCCACGTTCCGGGCTTACCTTCAGCATCACGGGTTTCTCTTCTTCCTTGTCGATGGGGATATTGGTGCTGTGAACCCAGGTGTTCGTGCACAGGTGTCTCAGTCGGACATAGGAGTTCCTAAACGGGAAAAACGAAGGGTCTTAGGGACAGGACTATTGAGGTTTACTCTGTAGTCATGGGTCTAGAACAGGGGTCCTCAGACTTTTTAAACAAGGGGGGCCAGTCCACTGTCCCTCAGACCGTTGGAGAGTGCAGGCACATTCCACACATGGGACGAGACGGCTGCTAAGCAGGACAGGCAGCGGCGGCAAAAACACTGGCGGGCCGGATAAAAGTCCTCGGCGGGCCACGTGTGGCATGAGGGCCATAGTTTGAGGATTCCAGGTCTAGAATTTATTTTGTCAAAATAGAAAGGAATGCCAAAATGGTTTTCCAGTACATATGATGGACACTGTAACCTAGGAACAAATGGTTCTGGTCCAAGTTACCTTCAAGGCACTTATAATAGAAAATGATTCATGGTGACTCTGAGCTGTATTTCTAAATACAAGGTCATACCCTGTAAATGAGCATCTCAGCCCAGGCTGACCATCAGACAGAGCGACACAAAGTACTTACTGAGCTCATCATGACAGATAATAAAGCAATGACTAGAATTTCATATGGATCAATAATAAAGCGAAATCACAGAATTTCACCTGGGAAAAATGAGCAAATATTTACTAATCTTGTGGTAGGAAAATTCTTTTGAACCGTGTAACAAAATATAAGATTCCTAAATTTCATTTTTTAACAGATCCCATGGAGAACTATACGATTCCTAAATTTTAGAAGTAAAAGATGGATAAATCTTACTAAATAGTTTAAGGTTCATATCATCTGTATAGCAAAAAAAAAAAAAAAAGTCATAAAGTTATAACAGCACCAATGCACTCTATCCTTTGAAAAAACCCTCTAGCATAAAAAGGTTACTAATCCACACATCTTATAAATAGCTCTTTAAAAAATCAGTAAGAAAAACATGAATATTGGAAATGAAAATTGGGAAAGGACATGGATCTGTAATTTAATAATGAAATACGAATGGCCAATAAATACAGCAGCATTCTTTACATACAATTTACACAAATCAAAACAATGCATGATTTTATTGTATTATATTCCAAAGATCTTAACTGATAAAACCCATTATCAACAAGAACTTGGAGAAATAAGTTCTCCTGGGGTGAGAGTGTAATCAGCTAAAACCTTGGAAAGGAGTCGGCACTTTGTATGTAATATGTAAAACATATAACGTGTAATATGTGTCTATCGTTTGATCTGGCAATCCCATTTCTGGATATTTTTCTGGAAGAGATGATAGCACAGGTACCAAATGAGGCACAAAGATGTTCAACAAGAAATTATTTCTAATAGTAAAAACCTGTAAGCAATCCAATGCCTCAGTAATGGTCTAGTTATTTATAGTGTGTACAATAGAATACTACAGTTACTTAAAAATGGTGATAATTATGACTCATTTACTTGGAAATATATAAAAAATATTCAGTAAAAAAATCTTTAAAAAACAGTGTATTTCATTTATAATAAATTATATAGTCATCTCTGTACACTCAGAGACCTGTCTCAAAGTACATAAACCAAAATGTTACCAGCAGCTACTTCCGAATAGTTGAATTGTATGTGATTTTTACTTGCTTCTTTGTTCTCCACGAGGTTTTAAAACGCCTTGCTGTTTCTTTTTACAGTGGAGTGTGAATCATTTTTACAATGTTTTCCAATTTTGCCTGTCTTCTGAAGAACCAGCAGAAATAATGACATAATTCTCGTGCTTAAAAAACCCACCATCCCAGGAGTGAGACCAGGTAAGTGAACACAACAAGGCCATCGTAAATAACACGGGATGCACAGCAAAGAACACTGCCTTGGGACATAAACAAGGAAGAATGAAAGTTCTCTGTTACAGAAAACCTGAGCTGGAACTTTAAATGCTGGTGGGGCATGAGCAGAGAAAAGAGAATGCAAGTTTTTGCACTAAAAAGAATTTAGAACAATGGCATACCATGCTCATGAAAAAGGGCAACAAGATCAAACCAGTCCCACCTTTTTTCCCCATTATAACTGTTCTCAACATTGTAAGTTAGGCCAAGAGAGGGCAACCACAGGGATACTTACTTGACTAGCATGAACCTAAGTTAAGCAACAGGAACAAGATATTTGACAAGGCAATTTGCATTTTTTATGCTGAGTGACTTGGATTCATTTCCATCTTTTCAAAGTGGAACCAACGCTTGGAGCTTAGCTTTCAATTGGATGACTACGTTCTATAGGGTTCTATGTCTATATCTATGTTCTATTTCATTTAAGATGCAAAAGGGCATTCTATTGATTCCTCCAAAGACCCATTCCCAATCCTTAACTCAAAAGCCACGGTATCAGGACAATTACAAACGAGGCACGGAGCTGGATGCTCTCTTACTGTTCGTTTGATGCACATAATTTATGCATACTACAATTTTATAATCTTGTTTAGTATATCCAGGATTTGCCATTATTCCTTTCGCTTTGGTTCTGAAAGATTCTTTTAACTGTGACTATTACCAAAATATGCCTTTACTCATAACATTTTACGGATATTCATACATCTAACCCCAGACTTTCTGATTTTTTTTTTCGAGACAGAGTCTAACTCTGTTGCCCAGGCTAGCGTGCCATGGCGTCAGCCTAGCTCACAGCAACCTCCAACTCCTGGGCTCAAGCGATCCTCCTGCCTCAGTCTCCCGAGTAGCTGGGACTACAGGCATGCGCCACCATGCCCGGCTAATGTTTTCTATATGCTTTTAGTTGGCCAATTAATTTCTTTCAATTGTTAGTAGAGATGGGGTCTTGCTTTTGGGCTCAGGCTGGTCTCAAACTCCTGACCTTGAGCGATCCTCCCGCCTCGGCCTCCCAGAGTGCTGGGATGACAGGCCTGAGCCACCGTGCCTGGCCAGACTTTCTGATCTTTAAAGGAACAAAATTTAACACAACTGTAAGATGGAGAGAAATTAGTGTATCACACTTAAGATTTTTTATGATGCACAGGATCTATGAACACGATACCCTGCTCTCTTCTGGCTCTGAGGTTGGCGGTCAAGGGCAAGAATGAATAAACATTCATTCCAAGCAAAGACAGCCAAGACCCAATCCAAAATCCTCAGTGAACTCAGCGGTCCATCATGCCAAATACTTTTGCCTGGGTGATCACAAGTAGATTTTCTTGTTCTCAGTTTTGAATGAGTCTGAAGACAACTCCCCAGAAAGTAAGTTTGCCAAGAAAAAAATAGTAATGAATAAGGGAATATATAGAGAAGCAAGGGGTCTCCAACCTGGTTAGTCAGGTGACCCAGAAACTCAAACTTTCCCTTCCTCCAGGATCGCGGGATCTCTTCCAACCCACTGGGGAATGTGACCAAGCAGCACCTCACTCCCGCTTTGCCAAGACTATGCCAGGAAGCATCATTCTGATGGAACAATGTGATATTTTAAATGACATGCGTCTGTTCTTTTCCTAACGAACTGAAACATCTAGCACATTATATAAATGTCATTCCCGTCTTCTGGGATCCTAAGAAAAAAATTCATTAAAAACATTCCAGCATAGAGACTACAACATATGGAAACAATTACTTAAACTGAAATGCAATTGGGTTCCACAAAGCCAGCTAGGTAATAAGCAGGAAGTGAATGAGAATGGAAGATTTTTTTTCAGACAGAGTTTCACTGTGTTGCCCAGGCTAGAGTGAATGCCATGGTGTCAACCTCCAACCCCCGGGCTCAAGCGATCCTCCTGCCTCAGCCTCCTGAGTAGCTGGGACTACAGGCATGCGCCATCATGCCTCGCGAATTTTTTTCTATGTATTTTTAGTTGACCAATTAATTTCTTTCTATTTTTAGTAGTGACAGGGTCTCGCTCTTGCTCAAGCTCTTGCTCAATATAACAACTTGGAATTTTAGAGGACTCTTGAGTGCTGTGTGTCCACTACCTATTGTTCTTCAATGATGGAAAATGATTAAACAAATCGGCCATGATTCCCTCTACACTATTACAAATATTATGTCTTGTAAGTTAACATTTTTAGCACAGGAGAAATTTTATGTAATAAAATTACTGTATCTTTTGGACTTAACAAATTTGAATTTGTATTTAAACACATTGATTATATGTCTGATAATTCTTAATGGCACTTTTACTAATTTATTTGGGGATATTGGGTGCATTTGTAACTTGTGTTATTTACTCTTCACACTTGACTTGCAAGTAGGATATTGCCCTGCCAAAAGTATCAAACAGTGATGTTCTTCCTGTGTTCTGATTGGACAACCTTTTCAGAAGATCTCTTTGGGAGGTTGTTTCCTTGCAGTTTGGTTGTATGTCTTGAGATAATACCACCAAACAGCTCTTGGAAGTTCTTTTTTGATTCATCAGTAGCTGTGATGATTCTCATCCATGACACTAAGGGTTAGTTTTATATATTTAAGAGAAACATAATTGCTAAAAATAAAATGCCTCTATCAAGGAATGCTATTATAAATTATTGTTACATTATTCTCAAATACTAATTTTTTAATTTCTTTGGTATAGCAAACTATAAGCCCAGCCACTCATTTTATATGGTCATGGTTAATCTTTTTATTAATAAAAATTATGCTTAGAATAAAAAAAAAAAACAAAAACAAAAAAACTTCGAACTCCCGACCTCGAGCGATCCTCCCACCTTAGCCTCCCAGAGTGCTAGGATGACACGCATGAGCCACCACGCCTGGCCTGAGAATGGAAGGTTTTCGAAAGCTCTGTGCCCCTGCCTCAAATCCCATAAGCCAGGGTCAGGCTGCGTGGACTGGCCCGGATTCCTCTCGGGATAAGCAGATTTGAGAACCATACCTTGGGACGAGGCTGTCACCTCCACGGAGAGTGGTGGGGTCTAGCTCGAAGATGGAGGAGATGTCATTGCCCTCGGGCACCGAGACCAGGGAGTACACCATCTTTTCCTGGGCGTTTCGTAACCTGCTGCGGGAGGCGTCCTGATCGGGGTCCACCTGGGAAGGAAAAGCCGTCGCATCAGGAATTCCGCACGCCCCAAACCTGGTCACTCACCGCAGTCACGCCACGGTCCTCAGGGACGGAGAAGAAACGATAGTGAGCGTCAGGAGCCCGCAGGAGAAGGACCCCGGTTCCCCAGGGGTCCCAGAAGGTGACAATGGCTGTGTGAGCCAAGCATCTTTACCCTCTGCCTCCTCGTGCCGCAATGCGAACGCGTCAATGGCACGCAGGTGACACCCATCGGCGCCCACGGAAAGAGGCCCGAGCGTCCTGCCTCCTTTCCAGACAGGCAGGAGGGAGGCGGCACTGTCCCCAGGAAGACAAAAGAATCAAGAAACGCGAATGAGAGCGGAGGCCGAGGGGCGGCCTGATCAAGGGCTGCCCGGAGCCACGCCCGCCAGCAGTGGCGGGGAGGGGAGGGGGCACGGCGAGGAAGCCTATCCCGTGGACTCGGGCGTGGGGGGCGGCGGTGTCAATCTACGGTGACAATTCCCTGCTGGCAGTGTGACGCACACAGCGACTTCCCAGGAGAAAAAAATAAATAAATAAAAAGAAAAGAAACTTGAATCCAAGTGTTTGTAGGCAGCGATCTCAGCGTGGCCAAAAAACAGATGGTCGGAGGAGTCCGCCTGCCCCTGGAAAAAACGTCCGACATTAATGGGGGGCGGCTGATGACACCCGGGGCGAGAAGGGCCTCCCTCCAGCTGCGGCGGGGACTTGGCGGGGACCGGAAGCCCATCTGAAAGCCGGCGCTCGGTGACAAAAGCCCCGTCCTAGACGCCAAAGCCCATCCGCGGCCTGAGGCTTACGGAGCGGCTGGGACCAGGCACCTGCTCTGAGGGGCCCGGCTGCCGGCTCCCTGCGCGGGGCTCTTCTCGCCCTGTGACACGCCCGTGGGGTGACACCTGCCACCTGCATCCCCCGGGCAAGCACGCTGTCTTGGCCGCTGGCTTGCCTTCCTGAGGCCCGAGTGTCCTGCCCCTTTCCAGACAGGCAGGAGGGAGACAGCACTGTCCCCAGGAAGACAAAAGAATCAAGAAAAGCGAATGAGAGTGAAGGCCGAGGGGAGGGCCTGAGAGATCTGACCCCGCGGGCGACAGAGCAGGAGCGCAGCCACAGTCCGCTCTGCCCGCAGAGTGGGGGCCACAAGTTCTGTCTGCAAATTAAAATGTATATAATAAATATATGCACAAAATAGTTCTCTCAGTGCCCCCAAAACGCTGTCTGCTCCTTGCTCCATGCTTTCTCCTCTAATGACTCGTCCCTCTGCCTAAACAAGCCCGAGACCCCTTATTCCAGCTATGCGGAAGTAAGAGTGAGCTAGAGAGCGGCAGGACACGCTACAGCAGGGGTCCCCAAACTATTTAAACGGGGCAGCTCGCTGTCCCTCAGCCCGTTGGGGAGTGCACACCGTAGGCCCAGGACGAGTCGGCTGCTGAGCAGGACAGGCAGCAGGGACAAAAACACCCGGCCGGCCGGACCAATGTCCTCGGCAGGCCGCGTGTGGCCCTCGGGCCGTAGTTTGAGGACGCCTGCTCCGCAGCCTCAGTTCGGGGAAAGAACCTCGACCGTCTGTCCTCTCCGGACTCCCTGGCACAGTGCTCCCCACCGTCCGTCCGTTCAGCATCAACGCTGACCCAAGGAGGGGCGGAGACGCGGGGCCGGCTGCGGGCTGGCCGTCACACAGCGGAGCCCTGCGGGGCAGTGAGGGCGCAGTGGACAGGGGAAAGTGACAGTCGCATTCAGCCCGCCGGGTCTGCAGAGCGACTGAGGACCACAGCCTCGCCCGCTGCCCGGGTGCGGCCGGCGCCGGCCACCTAGCGGGCAGAAGGCACCGGAGCGGCAGGGCGCCCTGGGTGTCCTCCTGCCCCTCCGCCACCAAGCAGGCGGCTTCAGGGCGCTCAGTTTAGAAGGACGAGCACGACAGAGCTGGACGAGGGCCGAGGAAACACCGCAGGCGCTAGATGCCGGTCTCGGAGGCCAGCGGGCAGGGAAGAACGGGTGGCCCGTCCCCTGCGTGAAGGACCTAGGCTTTCCAGCCGCAAACAGGGTGAAGAGCACAGGAGCCTGTGAGTGTTAGCACGCGCCCCTCCTCCACACGCAGACCACAGCCGGGCCGTGCGGGAGCAGCCGGACCTACGCGGTCTCCATCTGCCTGATCTTGCACAACTTAAAAAAAAAATGCCATTTATAACAGATGAAGGAATTGAGGCTCAGAGAGGGAAAGCAACTCGCCCCAGGTCACACAGCTCCTAAGTGGTAGGTCTGGTATTTAAACCGTCTTGCCCCTCCATCCTGCTTTTCATGAGTCTGCTCTTCCCCCTACACTGCGAACGCCAGTCTTCCCTCGCACATCACGAGGCCAGGAGAGCGGCCCCGTAGCTTCAGAGCACAAGATGCACTCAGACACCAGCTGTCAATCAAAAAAGCCAGGGCTTGGCAGGGTGCAATGGCCCACACTGTCATCCCAGCACTCTGGGAGGCCGAGGTAGGAGGATCGCTCAAGGTCAGGAGTTCGAGACCAGCCTGAGCAAGAGCAAGACCCCCGTCTCTACTAAAAATAGAAATTAGCCGGACTACTAAAAATACATAGAAAAAATTATCCAGGTGTGGTGGCGCATGCCTGTGGTCCCAGCTACTCGGGAGGCTGAGGCAGGAGGATCGCTTGAGCCCAGGAGTGTGAGGTTGCTGTGAGCGAGGCTGACGCCACGGCACTCTAGGATGGGCAACAGAGTGAGACTCTGTCTCAAAATAAAAAAGAAAGAAAAGAGAAGAAAAAAAGCAGCCAGGGCTTACTCAGTCTCAGAGGTGACACTCACTCTGTGTCACCTTAGACGGCAGCACAGAGACCACTGGATACAAGTCACACGAAGGCAGATCCTTCTCTTGAAATAAAGTGCAAGGACAAGAACTGCTTTAGGAAACACCAAGCCCCGGCCAGGCAAGTGTCAAACCCCACGAGCACTGCGCAGAGGGGTTTTACGAGAGCAATGACGGAAACTCCGTGGCAGTGACAGAAAGCTGGACTAGGTCACTGTTTTCCCAGACATACTAACCGTGGAAGGAAAGCTTTCAAAGCGGACTCTCAAAGTGAGGGGGCAAGAAGGAAGGTGAGCCCCAGGCGCGCCACCAAGAGGCAGAAAGAGCAGGAGAAGGTCCCCTGCAAGGGGAGAAGGTCCCCTGCAAGTCCACGGACCAGCAGCGCTCAGCTCTAACTCCCGAGTCTCCTTCAAAGCTAGCTTTCCTCCCAGACATGGCTGGAAGGGTAACTGTGACCGCAGAAAGCTTCCCAAGGACAATGACAATCTGAGTTATTTCCACTCCAACCCCCTTCGTTAGTGCGCCTGTGTTAAAGTCCTTCCAATCTTTCCAAAATTGAGCAAAAAGGAAAAAAAGAAATACCCTCCAGGCTGGCCACCATACCCACCACTGAGATCACCACGTGGACACGCATGTCAAATAGAGCGATGTCTATTTGGTTTTTTGCTTTGTTGGGTTTGTTTTTTACCCTAGGCCAGAATCAGGCACTCCGCAAGAAAACTGTTTTACCTAAACCCACCATTTCCGCGGAACACAACCACTGCCTTCCTCAACCGGTGACAGGGGACACTCGAACCCCAAGTGCCTACCCAGCAGCAGAACTTGGCAACACGGTCTCCGCGGAAAAATCCACTTGGCGTTAAAATTCCAAACCACGTTATCCACCAAAGCCTGTTTTTTCTGACTTTGCAGGAAGCAAGGACAGGAAAGATGGTCAGACAGCTGAGTGGCTAATCAGACGCCAGGTGCGACATATGTCCTGTGTCACCTGCACAGTCTCAATGACACTGTCCACCTCGAAACGGGGATTCCTTGAAAAATCTGAGCGAGCCACAGACTGAGGTCCACGGCAGTCCGATGAGTGTTTGCCAAAGGCCAGCTTCTACACGGGCCGCCACTGTCTCCCAGCTAGGAGGGTTCCAAGTGACACTGCAAACCTTTCCAACTCAGTGGCAGAGACCCCGTGACCAGGCACACAGAAAACAGCACCATGACCGGCAGTCCCTTGGACCGATCAGGACACACAGGGGTGTGACCTCCCGTAAGGGAAGCAGAGAACACGACCCTCTTTCAAATAAATAAAAGGCAGTGGGTTTCTCCTTGCCCGGCACTCGACGGGCACAGTGACAGTTCCCTGAACGGGGTTCCAGATCACGTGGCCTCGCCCTATGAGACAAAGACAGGAAGGCTCTCGCCCATACTTACTGGGGGCTGAAACTCCAGGCATTCTTCCTCAAAGTCAGGGTCTACCTGATGAAAAAGAATCATTAGGAAATTAAAACAGCCATTGCTTTGTGAAGGACTGGGCCCCACGTGCAGGAACGGCCAGGCCTGGAACCTCCCGGCACAGCTAAGAGCTTGTCCCTTCCCTCTGTTCCTGAAACCAGCACACGCCACCACGACGACACAAGTCACACGGGTACGACACACACGGAACGATCCACCAGTCACCAACGGACGTCTCTCAGGTGTAGACGGAGGAACACAGTGAATGCACCAGCAAAGCAACAGTTAAAAGTCTGAGATGAATACAAGATCGGTACATGGTCAATGACAATCCTGCTTATTTTTAGTTAAAAAAAAAAACATTTTGGTTCTCCATCAAGAGCTCCCTTAGCCTCAAAACATAACAGATAACGCAACCACCATCAGTCTTTAGCGAACCACACACACCAACATTTTTTCCCCAGATGATTCCTTGGGTCCGTAATTTCCCCACGCCTCATCTCAAATCTAAACTTGGACTTGATCTTCGCTTCTCAGACATTTCGAAATCATCAGTTCAGACACGAGATCGGGCACCCGGGGACGAGCACACTTAGATTCCAGCGTTCCTCGGATGGGTGGCAGAAGCAGCCGGATGCCACTTGTCACCTTGGAGAGCTCTCAGTGGTCTCCCCGGTGGTGCCAGACAACCGGAAGGGTCTTTGGATGCAGGACTAGAATCTGACACGAATACGCATCGTGCACCTTCCAGCAGAGCAGAGCAAAACTCGGAGTCTATCACGCAGTAGGGCGGCTCCTGAATTCGATACAAAAATTTAAATTCCTCCCATCCTTTGGTACTGAGTCTCTCCTGTCCTCAAAAACAAAACCCTTTGCAGACATTGAAGGTCAACTTAGTTTCTGTGATTTTTTTGACCTTCCTGCAAATAAAAGATAAGCCCCTGTCTGTTTCCTTCATGCTCTGAGTAAATCAGATTTCTTTACAAAATGGTCTAACTGGACACGTCCTAATGCTACCACATTTCTGCTGCAGCTGAGACTCGGTCACTGATGTTAGCAGGGGGGCTGGCAGGTGACACGTAGGGAGGGAAACAGGCAAGAGCAACACAGAACGAAAATCCTGGCCGGGCCCAGGGGCTCACGCCTGTCATCCCAGCACTCTGGGAGGCCGAGGCGGGAGGATCGCTCAAGCTCAAGAGTTTGCAACCAGCCTGAGCAAGAGCGAGACCCCGTCTCTACTAAAAATAAAAAGAAATTAATTGGCCAACTAAAAATACATAGAAAAACTTATCCGGGCATGGTGGCGCATGCCTGTAGTCCCACCTACTGGGGAGGCTGAGGCAGGAGGATCGCTTGAGCCCAGGAGTTTCAGAGGTTGCTGTGAGCTAGGCTGACGCCACGGCACTCACTCTAGCCTGGGCGACAGAGTGAGACTCTGTCTCAAAAAGAAAAAGAAAATCCTAAAAAGCTAGGTTGGCACTGTTTTCCGTCTGGAAGTCCAATGAGTCGTCCATCAGTGCCCCGCGGCCAGGTAGACCGGCATCATTTTGTAAATTGCTTTCTCTCCATATCTTGATGAGAACGCCTATCGAGTGCTAACCCGTGGTTATTATTTTTGCCTCTTTCTTTCTAGGGAAATGAGGCAGAAGGAAACAGAAAAACAAGAGGAAAAAGCAAGGTGACTATTTCCCTAAGTCTTCGGCTACCAAGTGGCTACAGGGGGGCAAGAAAAACGTAGTTAAGCGCATCGGCCTTGAAAGAGCAGACCACGCTGCTGTTCCTTACCTCTGCCGCCAGGTAATGCCCCGTGGCCAGGTGCTTGAAACGGAAGAGGCTGTTCCAGTACCCAGCTCCGCCCCGACACGGGTCGTGCTGGACCACCTGCAAAAGAGGAGAAGAACGGTCACTGGGAGGTGGGGAAGTCTCAGCCCATGCTCAGGGCGACACTGACTGAGACCGCACAAGGCACAGGTCGGGAGTGGCAGCTCCAAGCTGGAAAAGAAAAAACCAGCATCGTGCAACAAACCCATTGCAAACGCCACATGGAACAACCAAATTCAAACGGACGGGAGTATTGATGTCTCTGCAAAGGAGAAACGGTGTCTCTAAGTTAACACGGCCAAATAAAGAACAAGGAAGCCAAAAGCTCAACATTTCCAGAGCTCCCATGGGGCCGGGAGGTGCCTGGGTTCCGACAGGCCAAAGCAGAGCGACCCCGCGGAACGCCTTGGCCGTTAACAGAGACGTGAAAAGGGTCCCGCCTTAGAAGTACCAGCCCCCAAATTAAGGCTACACTACACTTGGCCTAATCAAGCTTGAAACCAAGCCTCCAAAGGATCAAACTGATCCATAAGTAACTTTACTAACAAAACAGAAAAATTCATTACTCTTTAAACAACAGGTTCCAGACACTCAGTGAATTCAGTGAAATCCAGAGATACACACACACACACACACACACACACACACGGCATGTGGCAATCTGATTGCTGTGAATCAGAAATAAAAACATCTTTAAAGCAATGGCATGGGAGAGACACTACATAGAAAACAAAGATTTTTAAAACCCACTTAATTCCCATTAGAAACAACGCAAGCCAAGAGACAGTGGATCAGACCAGGCAGGGTGGCTCACGTCTGTCATCCTAGCACTCTGGGAGGCGGAGGCGGGAGGATTGCTCGAGGTCAGGAGTTCGAAACCAGCCTGAGCAAGAGCGAGACCCCGTCTCTACTATAAATAGAGGAAATTAATTGGCCAACTAATATATATATATAAAAACTTAGCTGGGCATGGTGGCGCATGCCTGTAGTCCCAGCTACTAGGGAGGCTGAGGCAGGGGGATCGCTTGAGCCCAGGATGTTGAGGTTGCTGTGAGCGAGGCTGACGCCACGGCACTCACTCTAGCCTGGGCAACAAAGCGAAACTCTGTCTCAAAAAAAAAAAAAAGAAAAAGACAGTGGATCAAAATCTTTAAAGTACAGAAAGAAAAACTATCGGCCTAGAATTCTATACTCAACAAAAATAGCCTTCAACAATGAAAGCCATGTGGAGTAACTGGCACCCCAATACACTGCAGGGGACATAGAGTGGTTCAACCACTTTGAAGACAGCCAGGCAGTTCCTCAAAGGTCAAACGCAGAGTTACCGCTATGGGACCCCAATCCCCGTCTCACCCAGCCTGAGAACACGCATCTACATGCAAACCTGTGCGTGCATGTTTGCAGCAGCACTGCTCGCAAGAGCCAAAAAGTGGAAATCATCCAAATGCTGCTGAATGATAAATGGATGAATAAAACATGGCACAGCCATACAACGGAATGTTATTTGGCAATAAAAATAAATGAAGCATTCATACGTGGCAATAGGGATGAACTCCGAAAATATTACCTGCTATAGTCTGAATGTCCGTGTCTCCCCGCCAAAATTCCTATAGAAAACCTAACCCCCAAGGTTATGGTATTGGGAGATGGCTCTGGGAGGGGATTAGGTGACGAGGGGGCAAAGCCTGCGGGATGGGGCAGTGCCCTTATAAAAGAGACTCGAGAGAGCTCCTGAACTCTTTCTGCCACGTGAGGACCCAGCCGATGAACTAGACCCTGAATCTGCCTTGAGCTTGGACTTCCGGCCTGCAGAGATGTGAAAAATAAATTTCTGATTGTTTATGGTGTTTTTCGTATAGCAGCGTGAATTCGACTAAGACCTGACCCTAGGTAAAAGAAGGCGGGTACAAAGGACCACATGTCGCAGGATTCCATTTACAAAAAACATCCACCAAGAGCAAATCTACAGAGCTAGGAAATAGATTAGCCATCAAGGGCAAGAGGGTAGCCGGGTGCGGTGGCTCACACCTGTAATCCTAGCACTCTGGGAGGCTGAGGCGGGTGGATTGCTACAGGTCAGGAGTTCGAGACCAGCCCGAGCAAGAGTGAGACCCCGTCTCTACTATAAATAGAAAGAAATTAATTGGCAACTAATATCTATAGAAAAAACTAGCTGGCTGGTGGCCATGCCTGTAGTCCCAGCTACTCAGGAGGCTGAGGCAGGAGGATCGCTGGAGCCCAGGAGTTGGAGGTTGCTTTGAGCTAGGCTGACGCCATGGCACTCACTCTAGCCTGAGCAACAAAGCGAGACTCTGTCTCAAAAAAAAAAAAAAATACATAAATAAGTAGTGGTGTGACAGATAAACAAGCAAAGGAGAGAAAAAAAACCAGAAGAAATAATCAGATGGCTCAGGGAAAGAATTTGCCAATTTCACTTTTGAGTTTGCTTCCAAAGTAAACACCATGTTTCCCCGAAAATAAGCCCTACCCATAAAACAAGCCCTAGCAGGATGTCTAAGCACTGCGCTAGAAGCCCCACCCCGAAAATCAGCCCTAGTGCCGGGCGTGGCTGCGCAGCGTCTGCACAACCGTGCGTGTCGTCGCGGAGCGGGAAGGACACGAGCAGCCCTTCTCATCCGCCCGTGACAGCTTAGTGCTCGGCAGGAGAGATCGGGGCCGGTGTTCTAAAGGAAACAGAGTCGCAAGACATTCAGGATGGGACTTTGGTGGTGTAGAGAGTGAGGATGATGTTCCAGAAGAAGACGGCTTCACTCTATTTGAATCAGTGTAGACGGTTGTACCGTGCTTAAAAAATAACACATCCCTGAAAATAAGCCTAGGGTGTCTTCTTGAGGAAAATACATAGAAGACCCGTCTTATTGGGGGGAAACATGGTAGTATTTTCTTTCTTTTTAATTTAATTTTATTTACAGTAGTATTTCCTCCACAATCGCATCTGGACCCTCTGAGAGGTCGCGACGCACTCACTATTGCGCTAAGCCTTCCAGCCATCTCGGGAACGGCGTGGGTTCGGCCTGCCTGTGACTTACGCGCGCGGCAATGCTGGAACGACAGGCTCACAGCTGGAAGCCGCGGCCTCCTCCTAGCTGCCCACGCTCACTCCACCTCCCACAGGGCTTTGAGCTGGTGGCGGAGGTGGGCCGACTGGCGGCCGTGGTCCGCAGGAAGACGTGCTGCTTCTTTCTGTGCTCGTCGCAGGTGAGAAACTTCTCCTGCTCCGCGTGAACAGTTGATTCTAGGCACCGGACAGGACCATTGACCTGTCGAGCCCAAAACCACAT